AGATGTATGGAGCCCTACCAGGAAATCTTCATTGGGAGGATCTCAGTAATTTGTTACCTTTATTGATGATTTCTCCAGAAAAGTTTAAGTGTATTTCTTGAAGCAGAAATCTGAAGTCTTCTCTAAATTCAAGCTATGAAAAGCTGAGATGGAGAACCAAATTGGTAGAAAGATCAAGTATTTGAGGTCCGATAATGACACAGTACACAGATTCGCAGTTTCAGAAGTTCTGTGAGGAGCATGGGATTCAGAAGCATTTTTCAGTACGCAAGACACCACAGCAGAATGATGTAGCAGAAATGATAAATAGGTCCTTAACTGAAAGGGCAAAATGCTTGAGACAGAATGCAAGACTTCCTAAGAGTTTCTGGGCAGATGCTGTGAGTATGACATGTTATCTCATCAATAGATCACCTCAGACATTGTTGGGTGGCAAGGTTCAGTAGAGGTATGAAGATGTAATCTAGTTAATTTCGATCATTTCCGAATTTTTGGTTGTCCTGCTTATGTGCATGTACCTGGAGATGAAAGATCAAAACTTGATGCAAAATTCAGGAATTGCATCTTTCTGGGCTACAAGAAAGGTGTGAAAGGATACAAGTTTTGGGGTCCGATCGCAAAGAAGATGGTGATCAGTAGATATGCGGTTTTTGATGAACAGTCCATGTTGCAGCAAAATCAAGACAATGTGTTAGAGAACAATTCCAGTTCAAATGCAGTGTAAATGGATTTAGAACAACATCCAGAAACAACTAAGAGAGTTAAGGTTCAAATCCAATACCTGGTGATTCCATTCCAGATGATCTGCAAAATTATAATCTAGCCAAAGATAGACAGAGACACAACAATATAAGGCCTCATAACAGATTGATTTATGAATACTTGGTCTCTTGTGCACTTCTCATCAGCAACGATGATCAAGCCATTTTTCAAGTAGCTATCACTAGCCAGGAGAAAGAGAAATGGATGGGTGCAATGATTGAGGAGATGGAGTCTTTGCAGAATAATCGTACATGGGAGCTAGTTCAGCTTCCTGAGGGAAAGAAGACTATTGGGTGCAAGTGGGTGTACAAAAGAAAATCAGTAGTATCAGAAAAAAAAAGGAAAAAGTTCAAGGCACGACTGATAGCAAAGGGAATTTTCACAGCAGAAGAGGATAAATTAAGATGAAATCTTTTCTCCTGTGGTTAAACATGCTTCAATCAGGGCAGTACTTGCATTAGTAGCTATTTGGGATTTGTATTTGGAGCAGATGAATGTTAAAATTTCTTTCTGGCATGGTGATTTGGAGGAGCAAATTTACATAGAGCAGTCAGAAGGGTTCACTCAACCTGAACAAGAGCATCTGCTTTGCAGGTTCAAGAAATCGTTTTATGTGTTGAAATAGTCTCCAAGATAACGGTACAAGAGATTTGACTCCTACATGATTCAGATTGGCTACAAGAGATGTGAGTATAATTGTTGTGTTTATGTGAATAGCCTTGATGATTATTCTATTAATTTTTTGTTTCTGTATGTTGATGATATATTGATTGCTGCAGAGAATATGAATGATGTTTGTGGTTTAAAAGCTTTATTGAGCCATAAATTTGACATGAAAGACTTGGGTCCTACGAAGAAGATTCTTGGAATGGAGATTCATCGAGACAAAGGCTCAAAATGATTATGTTTATCTCAACGAGGCTATGTTGAGAAAGTCTTGGACAAGTTTGAGATGAGCAAAGCAAAGCCTGTAAGCACTCATTTGGCAAATTATTTTAAGGTTTCTTCAGAATAGTGTCCCAAGACAAATACAGAAATCAAAGACATGATAAATGTTCTATATGCCAGTGCAGTTGGCTGCTTAATGTATTCAATGGTATGTACTCGTCCTGATTTGGCTCATGCTGTTAGTCAAGTAAGCAAATATATGACTAAACCTGGAAGGCAACATTGAGAAGTAGTCAAGTACATTTTCAGGTATCTGAAGGGTACTGTAGGACATTGAATTATTTTTGACAGTCAGTAGGATGATCCTTCAGTTGTGGTGTACGTTCATTCAGACTATGCAGGTGATTTGGATGGCAAAAGGTCTACAAATGGGTATGTGTTTACTCTTGGTGGAAGTCTTATATGTTAGAAATCAACAATTTAGAGAAATCAACGATTTAGCTATTGTGACATTATCTATAACTGAAGCTGAGTACATGACAGTAGCTGAAGCTGCAAAAGAAGCCTTATGACTTGCTGGGCTAGTAAAGGAATTGGGTGTTGAGCAATGTGGAGTTCAGTTACATTGTGACAGTCAGAATGCTATTTACGTGACTAAGAACCAGATGTACCATGCGAGAACCAAGAACATTGATGTCAGGTATCAAAAGATCAGAGAATTGATTGCTTCTGGTGAGATACTTTTGTAGAAAGTTCATACTGATGAAAATGCAGCTGATAAGTTGACCAAGCCAGTTACCATCAACAAGTTTTTGCATTGCTTGGACTTGTTGATTGTTTGCAGTTGTTAGAGAAGCATGGTGACCCAACCCACTTTAGTCTGTAAGAATTCTATGATGTATTTCTTTAATTTCATACTTAAGCACACAATTCTTATGTATTTACATATTGTTAGATATGGCTCATATACCATAAATGCCATATAAGGGACAGATGCTGAAGCGGAGCAGAAGATTTTGTCCAAATTAGGGGAGTTTCCTTATGTGGGTTGGGGGTGCGGTATAGGAGTAATTTGATAATTACATATTGCACTCAAGATTTCATTTCTGCTCTTTCTAGAGTTATAAATAAGTCTGTTTGTAACCTTAGGTTATTCTATTATGTATCCTGTACTATTTTTCTGGATTAGTGGATAAGCCACCGCTCTGCTTCCGAGGACGTAGGTATTTTTGCCGAATCTCGTTAATTCTCTGTGTTTTCATCTAGATTTGTGTCGATTCCTATTTTTTTTTCACCCCAATTTCTCAACATCTATTATGCTTCATCCTTTTGGAAAGATCTGATACTATGTTGCTAGTATAATTAGAAGAGGTCTTTTATTCCAAGTAAATATAAAATTAAATTTTTTTTTTAATCCTTGGTTAAATGGTTCGTTTTTTGTTTGAGATTTTTGGGAACTATGTTTTTAATTGGTTTCATTTTCCCAAATTTATAAAGTCGAAAGATGTTTTACTTAAGGGTGTGTGGTTTTTTACTCAGAGTTATGAAATTCCTATTAATTAACTCAATTTAATTCATAGTATTTCTATTATTGATTTTAACATTAATTGCTTTTGTAGGGTAACAAAGCTACTAATCATTACATTCATGATAATTTTCCTATCAAAGATTGGAATAAGCTAGTTTGGCATAAAGTTTATTCCATCATGTTGCCTTTCCATACTTGGAGAATTATTCATGGGGGGGCTTAAGATATCTAATGTTTTTAATGCAGAAGCATTAATCTTAATCTTAATTGTGCTCTCTGCCTCAGCAGTTTTCAGTCTCACAATCATTTGTTTTATTTAATCAATTTTCTTTCATAACCTCTTAAGGAAATGCATTCCTAATGGTGTTTTATTTATTACAGCTAATAATTAATTTCAAGTTATTTATTATGCTGATAATATCAGCTATAAAGTTTCTAAAAAGCTTTCTTTCTTGTTGTTCAAGTTATTGCCCATCATATTTGATTTGAATGAAATAGCAAAGTTTTCTAAAATTTGCATACCATTATGTGCTTATTGTTAAAAATATTCAATAGATGATAAAACAAAAAGAGTAGAAAGTGGAAGTTCAACAATGACATTCCTAATCACATTAAAGCTTTTTAAATCTCTAATTCTTTTTCTGGTTCAATTATTAGTCTTTTATGGATCCTCTCATGCTTTCCTTCTTTTCTGGTTTTTTGCTGATACCTCAGATTACTTCAGATCTTCCTTTTTTGGTTTTTTTCCTTTTTGCTGGTGATGTTTTGGTTTTGAGCAATGATGTACGCAAGCTTTACTTCGAGACCCAAACCATTTTTTTTTTCTTGGGTTTTTGGGATGGATATTGCTCTCACAGCTAAGTCTGCGTTTGGGTTTTTCCTACTTTTTTAACATGGATGGACTTCTTTTACTTTCGGCATTAGATTCAACCATTTAAAGAAGTTTCTGTAAATGGTTTTATTAGTGTTGTCTTTGAATACTCATTTAAAGCTGGATGGAGTCTCTCTGTTTTGGTTGCTGGGTTCAGCTCTCTGATATTCTGCACACTAATTCTTTGTATTTGGCTTTTGGTCATAAAGATTTTGTTGCTGAATTTTATAGGTCCTTGTTGTACCCTTTTCTGTTTTGTATGTTGATTGATGATGAAGATTCCCTGCTCTTCTATTTGCTTCCTATATAATTGGAGAATGCAAGCTTTGTTGTAAGCTTATCTATTTTACATGAAGAGCATAATCAAAGATGCCTTGCTTGTCTATGGACTGAGCTGCTTTGGATCAATTTTAAATGTGTTTTTGTCTTTTCTACAGCTGTAATTAGCTTCGATTCTATCTTTTCTGGACAATTTCTTACAAGTTCTGTTTTTTAATAATAAAATTTTGAGTGATCCTACTTTTTCCAAATTAAAAAATATAAAAATAAAAACTATAGCTTTGATTCATTAGCCCAATATTATAATGGGGCAGCTTATTTGGTGGTGTCGTTTTGAAAACACACCTGACCTGTTTGGATAAACCGCGTTTTGGCAGGTTATGCGTTTTCAAAATGCTGAAAACAGTGTTTTCACACCGCATCTGTCCAGGTGTGGTGGCAGCTTTCTGACAGTGATATGACTTTTCCAAAAAAATAAAAATTTGTAATAACTACCGCACCTAGTTTATTAGCAGATTATTTTTAATTAGCTTATCAGTAGATTATTCAATAAGCTGCAGCTGTCCCAAACATAGTCTTATTTTAAATTAGATTTTTTTTTTTCTTAAATTTTAATATGAAAAATTATGTTTTTTTGGGAAAAAGAAAATCTAATAATATCATCACACGTTATTATGAAAAATCACATTCAATATCTAATGCCACAAAACACATCATCAATCTCGTTCCTCAGTATAAAAATCACATTAAGAAAAAATAGTATGGCCCTTAATGCTGGGAAACGACCAAGTTCAGACATGATCGTGACTCTCGCCACCAGCCAAAACATTCCCCGCTTCGTCGGGCTTCACCATCTCCTCGCAGCAGTCACCGCCGCCCTTCTCCACCTTCGCGGCGGCGGGGGACTCTTCCTCTCCAACGCCGCCAGCCGCAAAACA